GTGCTTCTTCCGATGCTCTGAGGCCGCTACGGACTTCGAAATGCCTCCAGCGAGCGAGGAACCACCCGGGCAGCCCTGACATGTTTATTTGTTATATTTGTTTAGTTAATTTATATATCATTGCTATTTTTTTTTAAAATGTAATCTTTTTAAATCATATTATAATATATTTTCATGTATGTTCATTGTTTCTTCGCTCCTCATGCAGTTCTTTGTACAAGACACATGTGCCCAGGGAGATAGGCTGATCCTTTCAGCAGTTTACAAAGGCATTTAAGGCGACTAATTCCTGTCTGCATCCAGATGTACAAATGAAGAAGTGCAAAAGGTAGGTTCACACGTATGCGGATCGAGGTACAGTCAATTGGCCGAAATCTTGAAGTGATAAGTGCTACGCGCTGTAGAGGGTCTCAAGATGAGTTGAAGTGTTTCTTCTTGTACTTTAAAGAATGTGCCAGGCGCAGTCGCCCAAAGCATCTCCCAAATCAGCCCCGTCTCCATCCAAGACCTCATCCAAGATTGTGACCAGCGCCACGCCGGTGCCTGCGCCACCAGACGTGGTGAAGTGACTTGACTGAGTCTCGTGAGGTTGAACAACGTGGCAGTTGTTTTCACATGGCCACATGGCCTCCAACCTAATAGCAACGGCCTCCAACCAAATAGCGATGGCCTCCAACCTGATAGCCTCGAACCTAATAGCGACGGCCTCCAAGGCCTCGAACCTAATATATAGTCGTTTTCAGAATTTGAAAGGTCATTTAGCTCTATACAAGAGCGTTTGATTCACTTTGCTTTGGAGTTTCCTTGGACGACGATACGGGACGTCCACACACCGACAATGTCATTGTGCATGATGTCCTGGGATGTCCATGTGCGAACTCTGCAGGGTTCGATGCCTACACGTTCCAACAAAAAACACCATGTCGAACATTGCATTTTTGTTCCTGCCTCTCGCGTTCTCTTCTCTTCCCGCTGTCCTACCTTTCGTGTCTCCCTCCTCTCAAGTGTATATTAACACCTTCAACGCAGAGTTTTGACTTAGACAGCAACTCCTGTGACTCCTTTGCAAGCAAAGTAGGAATTGAGCCACTCTGGACCCAGATTTCAATTCCCACCTCACCAAGGTCATTAGGCATCCTGCGCGCAGCTGCAAAGTCAATGGGTCCAAACCATATGTCAGAGCCACAGAAATGCCAGCAACAGTGTGGCAAAAGTGAGATTCATGGTTTATTTCGTAATTTCAACCTTAGTTGATTCAGTGTCTTTGATTCACCATGGCCCATTTGGCAAGAGTTGATGTGGCCCATTTAGGTTTGCAATTGACCATTCGTGGGTGTGTATCCCATGGGTCTGCCCACCTGATTCCATTGGCTCGATGCACAGACCCGGCTTTGCTGGACGATGACCAGCGAGGGTAGTGATCCTGCTGTATCGGGCATTGGTGGAACCAGACGCAACAGAGCATATGGGAGCCGCGCCGATGCTGTATTGATTTGGTTGAAACAGACCGCGCTGCAGATGAACAAATCCAATCCCTTGATGAATAGTGAGGCATCGTTCAGGTCCCTGGGGTTCGTCGCACAATGTCGGCCTCTGAGGCAGCCTCCGCCAGACCGAGGCTCGATCGGGGCGTTGTCCGTCGCGGTGAATGACACTGGGCCTCCATGGCGAAGAGATGGCACGCAGGGAGGAACGCTGAGCAGCTATAGGATTTTAAGAATCATTTTTGGAGATGCAGAAGCTGCTTTGCTTTGCTTCTTCTGAGAAGAGCCACAAGTGACTGTGCAACTGAGTAGGCCAAGTACAGAAGCCCAAACGATCCTAAACGATCTTTGTAGAGTCGCAGGTAGTGGGAGAGCCAGCGAAAGCAGTGCGCTTTCTCGTGCGAACATGGCCCACGAGAGCTCCGCGAAAGCTCCGGCAGCTCCGGCAGCTCGACGGTACGGAATTTCTCCTTTGAGCGGACGCCGACGTTGTTTGGGGAAATGGAATATGTGGCAGATTCATAAAGATTTTCAATGGATGAACAAATCCTTTCACCATGTTTCATCAGGCATCCTGTCTTTTCACGCGCCACGATGTAAAAACCACAAAGATCTGTCACAGGGTATGGGAAGCTCGGATAAGCTCGATAGGCGGCGGTGACTTAGGCCGCTGGATGTCCTTGTGCAAAGCCGGAAGCATCAAGCAGCACTGAAGTCAAGCGAATCTTGGTCATTGTTCTTGTAAGGCTTTTGTCTTTGTGGCAGCTTTGAACTCGATTCGTTCTTTGTTGGGTAGGGTTGGTACTTAGCCTGAAGCTTTATCAAGCTTTCCTCCAAGAAGAATCCTCTCTAGTTTCCATTCTAGTGATTCTAGTGGCCCTTGAAAAGACACGTGTGAAATCACAACATGACAGCTCCGCAGCTGAAAACCATGCAACCAGGAGCTGCATCTTCTCAATCAGCTGAAACAGGATCGGCCCAAAGCCGAACTGTGGTGGCCCAGAATGGCAACAGCATCACAGGCAGAGGGAAACACTCGGCAAAGATCGATCGAGAGGGAACCGGCCGCTTTTTTGAATGTGTCTCATCTCACATACTCCAATGAAAGACACCACACGTCGCTTGTTGTGTTTGTGGCAGTCATGTGTGCATCCCCTCCATGAATCCTAGTGTCCCAGTGGGCGAATGATATCTCTCGCTGCCAGGAAAACTGATAAAACATGTAGTAACAAGAAGCTACTAGTAACAAGGTGCATCGCTACTAGTAGCAAGAAGCTACTAGTAGCTAAGTACATTACTACTAGTGGCAAGAAGCTACTAGTAGCATCTAGTAGCCTAAATGTTTCGATTTGATGTTCGACGCTTCGCCACGCCCGGTAGGTTTTAAAGCACGCAGCACGTCCGGACAAAGCGCCGGTCGTCGAAGCTCCCCAGAGAAAATGAGATCCGATGAGCTCGAGATCCATCCCGACAGCATCAGACACCTGCCTGCTTTTTCAGTTTTTGTGTCAGATGTGTCAGTCTTCGTTTTTTTTGATTTGGGTCCTAAAATGTCCTAAACTGTCCTGCAAAAAAAGGTCTTCTGTTTGAGTTCAGTTTTGCTCCCTTTGGTCGTGACTGACGGCATTTTGCCGAGGAGGCAGTTCTTCTGAAGCAGCTGCACGCACGGCTCCGGCACAGCTTCGCACGTGGCTGGAACGAGCACACCAAGAGGCCAGCGCCTTGTACACCAGCGGGGCACTGAACGGCTTGAAGAGTCCATTGCGTGGTCGACCCGCAGCTGATGAGGATCCAAGGGTGGCTTGGTCACAAAAACACATGACATCGAGGGCCGGTGGTTCCGCAACTTATCCAGAGTTTTTATCATTTCATATCATTTCATAGGTTTGCTTGTTTCCTTGAGCTGTCATTCCTTTCTTCTGTAACATGTTACTTTGGTCAACATCGTCAGTTACAGGTGGAGATGTTCTCCTATCCCCGATCTATGTCTCCTGCAGCTCCGCCCACCGAGCGTTCACGAGCAGAGCCGGCTCCGCTTCGCAGCCCGGAGCCCGCTCCGCTGGGCCCGGCGCGGCGGGACGGCCCGGCGCGGCCACGGCGTCCGTCGCCCGGGACGGCGCCCCGGGCGCCCCGCGCGGCGGCGGCGGAGAAGTCCGGTGCGGTGAGGTTCGCCGAAAGTGCCGAGAGTGCGCAGATGGAGGTCGAGGAAGATGCTACACTGATGTCACCGATTCCACTCGAGGGGAGGCGGATGAGTTCTGAGCAAGAGCAACTTGATATATCGCCTCATGAAGCCATGCTGCAGAGCCAATTGCGGTCAACACAACAGCAGTTGGAAGATTTGCAGCGGCAGTACATGGAGGTGCCTCTCGTCTCATATTGGGACCCAATTGACCCTCCTCCAAGGTGTATTGACTTGAAACTCCAAACCACCAACACCGGGAATGAATGATGAAGCCAAGCTGTTTGGCACTTTTTCCTAGCGGAGTTGCTGCTAAGTAGTTGGAATATGTTGGAATCTTCATAAAACATCCAGGACACGCTCTGGGAAAGAAGTGAATGCCAAGTTCCTCTGAGGCAAGAGCTGCTCCGGCAAAAGCGCTCACATCACATGGCAGGAGTGATTCTCGTTCCATCAAACGTCCATTCACTACATTGGCACAGTATATGGGATACTATTGGGTATCAATGTCAGCTCTCCGGCACAGCTTATCGTCCGCCCATGTACTCGTCGCGTGACTCCCTCGCAAGCAAGGACCCAGTGCACGAAGTCCCCCTCGTGGAGGCGCGTTGGACGGGACACATCGGGAGAGCGGTTCGGTGCGTGCGTCGTCGCGACTCGCCTGTTTTGGTAGACAAGGGAAGACAAGCAGCAGCATCCCGAACTAAAGCACCGTACCCAGCAAATCCAAACCGAAGCTGTTTGAAGAAACTCTTTGGTTTGCGGTCCCGTCCTCTCAGCCCTTCTCAGTCGAAGGTCGAAGTGTGACACCGAGGGAGACAGCATCACCTGTGAGGCCTTGAAGTTTTCACTGCGATATCGATATCGATGGTGAGGGCAATACACAGAATTCTTTAAACTTTGAACATTTTGTGTTTTAAATACATTTATTTGAACAGGTCATGATTTATTTGTATAGATAAATAAACTTGGAATGCTCCGGATTCCCTAACATGATTCTCAAGGAGTCTTTGACATGTTACTTGCTGATTGACACTTGGCCTTATATAGTTTCCTTGGCCTTCCTGGAACTGCCAGGCTTGTTCATCTTTCAGGTTGTTTGGAAGTCATGTACTGCCAGTCAAGCATGAATCTCGATGTCATGCAGTGTTTTGACTCTCATCAGAGCTGCCAAGCAAGCAGACATGGATGGAGCATTCATTTGCTTAATGACAGTGACAGTCGATCCATTTCACCCAATCCTCAATCTACTGGTGCACTTACTAGCAGCTCAGCAGTCGCCATTTGGTCAAACTGTAGTCTGGAGTCATTTTTCACGAGGCATTCTGCCGAAAATGGGCAGCATGGCTTTGCTGAAGATTGTCATACCCGCGGTTTGCTTGGGACATGCTTGTCCCTTGCTCACGGGAGTAATTCTTGTGGCACTAGGCCTTTGGGCAGTGAGATTACATCCACGGAAGACCTTGGACATGAGCTGGCTGGACCTTCTGGCTTCTTTCAAGGCTTGCTTCACCCGTCGAGACCGGCAGAGTGTGGAGAAGCAGCTGCAACAGATTTTGAGCCCGGAAGAGATTGTGACCCTGTCGGTCCGTTCTGCCTTTGATCTTCTGCTTTCAGCTTTAGACCTCCCAAGGGGTTCAGAGGCCGGGCCGAGCGTTTTTCGGCGTCACAAAACCGGCGTCACCAACACCGGTAGATACCAGTGGTTTTTCGTCCTATTCACCCATCGATGCACAGACCCCATCGATGCGGAACACAGGGTGTTTTCGGCACCGTTTGGGCAACCCTTCCACTTTTGGAATTCAGGAGAATTGGCAGGTCCGAACTGGCTTTTTGGATCCACCCATCTTCCAGTCTGGCACCCTTGCCCCTTTCCATCCCCTGCTGCCAGGTGCTGTTTGTGCCCGGCATCACCATTCCGGCCATGGTTCAGCTCGTGGAGTTGCACGGTTTACAGCCGGTGGGCGTGGACCCTCTGTCGCCTCAGCAAATGTTGCCAAGTCAACTGGAGCCCTTTGTGACCACGCAGACACGGGTGGCACCTCGGTGGTCTTAGCGCTGAAGTGAAGTGACGGAGGGCTTCGCGGCAGGTTCCGCCGGGATGCCCCCATTGTACTTCTCGGTCAAGTCTTTGTGAAGCTCCTCAAGTAGGTCGGATCTCTGATTCAGTTTTCCCAACAAAAGGTTCCAGACACAAACGGTCAAAGACACGAAACAAAGTACTTCTCAAAGTGACCTGTGGAATCTCACATTCTTTGCTAGTGACTGTCGATTGGTAATCTGTGCTTGTGCCTATTGGCCTATGGGCAGATGCCAGTTGACATTCGTTCGTAACCCACAGGACAAAAACAAGTTCATGTTCCGGCGATCACAACTGAATGCCCGCACTTTGCTTTGAAGAAACGGAATTCAGATATCACACCGTTCCTTCAAAGCGGCATTCTGACCGAAGTTCCGACCAAAGGCATTCTGGAATGGCAAATTGGTAGGACGAAAGACGGTTGAACCATATTTGCGTCCCTTTAAACTTCTTTCTGCATCCATCCTTCCAGGTCATCATCTCTCATCTATTTGGAACCATCCACAAAGCTGGACACTTGATCCGGGAGGCGAAGGATCTCGGGCTTCTCGTGGTGGAGGATTGCAACCATTTGCTTCAGATCTCTATTTTATTCCTTTCCATCAATTTTGGGAATCATGGGGCAGTGTCAGGCCCAAGATACTCCAAAGAAAAGGAATTTAATCACTGTAAGATTCCTTGAACTTCTTTATTGAGGGGTTTTGGGGTTCAACGGTTCATTCAGTCCTTCTTTTAAATGATGTCTCTGCGGTAAACCCCGAGGATTGTGCGCAGAGCTTCCTGGGTGCGATGCCCGCGAATCGGCGTTCTCTAGCCGCTCCCTGGCCCATGGGCTTTCGGGGCCACGAAAGTGCGGACGTTTGCCTCAGCAGCTTCGGGAATATCAAAACTCTCACGGCCTCTTGCCACTGAGATGACCGGTGCTACGACGTCCGGACCGTCGACGACGTTTTCATTTTTTTCACGAAAGGTAGCTTCAGCTGCCTGAGTTCAATTAGCTTTAGCTACAGGGCAGGATCCTGCCAAACGCCATAACTTTGGGCTCGTTAAAGCTAGTGGATCAACTCCACCCTGGGACGGGTGAATTTTCCTTCAATTGTACTGGTACCGTGGCTTCGTGTGATTGGATTCGTATCGAGCTTCTCCTCCCTCCTCGTAATTTGGCTACTGCTGCTGCTGCTGCTCCTGCTCTTCGAATCCCACGGATCTCTCTCTCGCTCTCTCTCTTCTCTCTTCTCTCTTCTCTCTTCTCTCTTCTCTCATCTCTCATCTCTCATCTCTCTTCTCTTCCTCTTCTTCTTCTTCTCCTCTGTTTTTTTTCTTTCTCTCTTCTCTCTCTCTCTCTCTTCTCTCTTCCTTCTCTGTCTCTCTCTCTCTCTCTCTCCCTCTCTTCTCTCACTTCTCTCACCTCTTTGAATTTTGAACTTAATGACCTACCTTTCGTCCACCCCCTCCCACTCAAGTTTTCTCCGGGAGGCCCCCTTTCAGGCATTTCGATTGATGAAGATGATGAAGTAGGGTATGTGACTTTCTGTAGCCATCTCCAAGGCCTTGGGCGGAGGACTTGCACGCATCAAAGACCCCAAAGTACGTGCTGAGATGCAAGAGCTGCAGTCCACCTGGCCAACTCGTCGAACTTCCCACCGCCTATTCACCGTGCTCGGGGCCTCTTTTTTCAAGCAGTTTTGCTTGACACCATGTCTTTATGGCTTGGTGGAGACTCTTTGTGCAACACTGGGGCTCGATTTTGATGGCCTGATTGTTTCCAGTGTTCGAGGATTCGGCAAACTGGAGTATATCCGGCAACAACCCTCCTTAGCTTTGCTGGAGTGCCTTCTTCGTCGACTTCGGGAGCAGCACATGGCATGTTTTGAGGACTCCTCCCTGCAATCCTCCGTGGCAAAGAGGCGACGCGTGGCCAAAGTGGTTGTGGAGCGTCTCAGTGAGGAGGGCATCGACTGCTTGACTTATGGGGATGGCAGCAATGCTTGGTGGCTTCTTCCCATCCTCTCAACCAATCCAAAGAACATGGCCAAAGACCTGCTTTCCTATGGCTTTGATGCGACCAACACCTCCACGCAACTCCAGCGAGTAGCATCAATAGCTACATGCAAGTCCGCTGCTACAAGGCCCTCAGATGGGAAGGACAGCTTGGAAGAGCAAGAGGAAAAACACAAACCTCAAGGTACCAAGGGTCGGATCGGTGAGATGACCAAACAGAAACGATACAAGCTTGAAGGGCTTGAAGCAAGACAATACTAGGTACCATGCCAACAAGTTTGGAGCACAACTGTGCATGATGCTGCAAGACACCAAATCCACTTGCCCCTTCGCCAGTTGTGGGGTCCTTGTTGTGTACAAAACACTAGTCAGACTGCATAGTCATCTCAAAGTCTCAAGCCAGGTTTTGCCAGTTGAGAATACAGCGCTGAAAATGAGCCAAAACCATGCTCTGGTAGCAACCACACTAATTTAATCCAATAAGAGCTGGGATAGCTAGATTTTCAAGATTTTCCATTGAGTGTCCATGTTGGTCAAAGTGCCATTAAGGCCTCGAGTGAACTCTGCAGGACTTTATGGAGCAAGTCGTGTATTTGCCGTTATGCCCGGATATGGCGCCTGAAGCTTGGTCAATGTTCGAGGGCAGGCCATCTATATAGTGGATCAGCATGTTTAGAGAATTCAGAGAACATCTGCCATCTACCTAAGTGGGAGATGTTCAAGTGCTTTTGAATGAGTTACTAGCTCAATCATTTGGCAGCGTTGGAAGCACTTGAAGGTGGGTCCACGACGTGTTTGACAGATATTGGGAATCAAGAACGATCGGGTCGATCAATTCTCCCTGCTTGGAGTCCAAGGAAACAGCATCGAGCTTAGCAGATGCAGTGGTGAGACTCCACGCCGGCAAGAAGGGGCCTCGAAGCTCAGGCAGGATGACGTCCGGCAACGCTCATCACACGTGGCATGCATTGGCAACAGTGGCTTTCAACACGGAACCGGGGAAGTATATAAGGTTAACCTAGTGGAAGACAGAAACTTGCCTAAGGCCTGAGGTAAGCTAAACACCAAATTTACTCCATATTCACTGTCGCTACACAATCAACGATCATTTGTGCCACGATAACTTGCTGACTTGCTTTGTTTTGGCACTTCCGGGGATTCCAAAGTCAAGTTGGACGTCTTTTCTTCCTGGTGCCACGGAAAGGCCATGGTCTCGTCTCCTGTATTCTTGGAAGTGCCTTTCTGCTGATGCCAAGCCTCTCGGCAGAAGATGTTCTTCAGCTCGTGAAGCTAGCTGGACAATTTGAGGACCGTAGAAGTCTTATGCCAGACCGCTTAGGCCTGATGTCTTGCTGGCTTCCTTCTGCACGACAAATTCTCCTACTTTCGCTCCTCTTTCTTCTTGGGATCTTCATCATGACCAGAGTCGCCAAGTGGTTTGCGGCCGACCCTGATCTTCGGATGAACCCGAGGCTTGTCAAGGCCAGGACGATGCAGCTGACGGGCATCGGCTGGTCTGGCTGGGGCACGCTACATTGTTGTCCTTTGAGTCACAAGACAACGCATGTTGATACTCATAATTATCCCAGTTGAAGCATTGTTCTTGGATATTTGAGGTCCATTTATGTCCATTTTTGTCTTAATTTGTATGGAGAGAGGAGTGGGCTAAAATACAAAGTATGTCCGTGACCCTCTTTCAGGCGATGTCTGCTCCTCCGAGGGCAGAGGGTGTCGATTTTTGCAGAGCTCACCCACTGGATTTACGCCTTGATGGAGCGGTGCTGGTGACTGGGGCTACTGGCTTTGTTGGTGGTGGTACCTGCGGTTGCAGTAAAGGCTCCTTTTGATTTCTGTGAGTCCATTTCGGTTTGAAACTCTCAGAACATTCGATGTCACAAGGGATTTCAGAAAGCCACGAGGTATTCTGTTCTCTTTGTTGTCCAGAGCCGAAGAATTGGGTCTCACAAAGATCGTTCTGATGGTGCGTCGGCGCGCGGGCAAGACAGTGGAAGAACGCCTGCAGAAGCTCAAGGAGAATTCGATGTTTGATGGCCTCCGCGAGACCTTTGACCAGCTAGTGGTGGGTTTGGAAGGAGATGTATCTCAACAAAATTTTGGCTGGAAGGAGCATGAAAAGAGTTGGCCACATCAGGAACGCTTGAAAGCAGTCTTACATTGTGCCGGCGATGTGAGATTCCAACAACCAATGCAGCAAGCGGCCGTTTCTTTGGTGTCCGCGACGCTGCAGGTGCAACAGTTGGCCTCACAATGGAGGTCCAAACGCTTCCTCTTCGTCTCAACGGCTTTCGTCCATGCTGTGCCACCCAGCAGCACTGAAGCACTGGAAGAGAAATTGGTCGAGTTGCGGGATTTTGATGCGATGGAACTTTACCGTGATGCCATGTCGCACGGGAGCTGGGCAAAGACTGCGATGCGTGAGCTGGGTTTTCCAAACACCTACACCTTTGCCAAAGCCATTGCTGAACATTTGGTGATTCGAGCCTGTGAGGCAGATGAATTGGATGTGAGAATTGTACGACCCTCAATCGTTGGGCCCTCCTGGGCTTTCCCTTACACTGGATGGGCTGGCGACAAGCCCTCCACCATTGTTGGCGCTGGCGCCCTTCTGGCCAGACGTGGAGTGCGAGTGTTCCGTGATGGTTTTGACCATCCATGTCCAGTGGTTCCGGTGGATATGGTGGCCGATCTCACTGTCAGGGCCTTGTGTGGAGCCTCCAATGCGGAGCCTGGGTCTTGTTTGAAACTGCTTGTGTGGCAAATAAACGCCCCAAACGCAAAAGGGAAACTCTTTACGTGGCAAATGGCAAATGCGCGCTTTGCGTCGTGTTTGACTCTCAGGAAAGAGGACCAATTCTGCACGCCTGTCTAGATGCCACCGAAGCGGACCAAATGCCATCATTCAGGTTTGCTCTTCGCCTTCTTTTCCAAATATTTGCATTGAAGGGCATTTTGCCACTGCTCCTTAGCGTTAACGAAAAGGACAATTTAGAATTGAGTTCCAGACAATTCAGGAAACCAAACAACATCAAACAACATCAACGTTTCAGAGATCGTTAGATCGCAATCAGGTTTGAGCTGGGCTTCATGTCGAAGCTACTGAGAGCCAGTAGCAATGCCACCGTGTTCTACTATGCCAACAGCATTCTCAACGTTTTTCCAATCCATTTTCTTGATGCTGTACGCATTTGTTTGGAACGGATCTTCTCCATGTTCGGCCAAAAGTTGAGCAAGGAGTTTTCAACCGTGGTCCGGGTTCTTGTCTCATGCCGCAGCCTGCCAATGGACTACCATCCCTTTTCCAGTCCGTCAACACCCTGGCGATTCAAATCGTGCCTCCGTTTGGCTGAAGAATGGGATCTCTTTGAGTATGTCCTGATTTGCGGTCGGGCGGCCTATGCCTTTGCTTTGAACCCGTTGCAAGGACCGGAACGTGGTTATGCCAAGGAGTTCTCTGAGATACGTATTTGCTCCAAAGAGACAGCCATGACTGATGCCTTGTTGGCCTTTGTCCATCCTGAAGCCTCAATTTTCTACTCCATCGCAGCCTTTGTAGTTCGGCTGGGTCTCAGTTGGATCAGCCTTACTGTGACGGTGGACGGAACATCTTTGTCCTCAATTACCAGCCTTGATGCGCCATTGGTATTGTGTCCTCAACATCGGTCTGTCTTGGACTTTGTCATCATTGGTTTGATGTGCTCTCAGCTCCAGCCTTTGCTGTACCTGAGCAGTGTTTTAGATGGACTGAACGAATCTTTAGGAACTCTGCAAGGAAGCAACCAACATCAACCAACTGTGTTCTATCAACCTTGTTTATCACTGAGAAACGCACAGGCCACTCGCTCGAAAGTATCATTTGGTTCGATGCAACTTGCTGATCAGCAAGAAACATTCACAAACAAAAGTTGGCAACGAAGGACTTGGATTCTTAAAACCAACAAACACATCTAGCTAAAACACAATAAAAACACGCACAACGTATATCAACAACAATATATATATATATATATGTATGTATTATGTACAAAAACATATAATATACACCTAACAGCCGTTGAGTCTCCCTAAAGCACCATGTTTTGTCATATTTCGTCCGATTTGCAATTCAACCCCAATCAGATGAGGCCACTGCATTTGCCTCACGTGGCCGCAGACGCAGAGTTCTCGAATTTGCCGGTCTTAGGATGGGCTTTGAGTGGTTTGGGCTACTCAGCTCCAAGGGTTAAGTTTCTTTGGGGTTCTTTTTTTGACTGTATAGAAGATTGATAATGGCTGCACATGCCAAACAGCGCATTCTAAAGACCGTCCTGTTTCGTTCCGTTGGAACTCCGACGGGTCCGCCCTCGAGTCTCAGAGGTGCTTTCTTCGTGCGTCGTGGAGGTGGTGCCGTGCAGCCGGACCCCGCCTTGCGCGCCAAGGTGGGTCGAGTGTTCCAGAGCGGGCGCCCCCTGGAGGCGCGTTTCGGTCGGGACGTGTCAACGAAGCACGAAATGGGAGCGTGCCTGTTTTGGTGAAGGTCCTCAAAACAGAGCACAGCAGCATATGTACTAGTGCATACCAAGAACAGATTCACATCATCGGAATGGACGTGTCATCACTATCGCTCTTAGGTTGGAGGCCATTGCTTCTAGGTTGGAAGCGACCGTAGGAGCTTCATCGGTGCAGGTCTTCCTGGAAGGCCTGCGTTCCCGCGGCCGCCGGCAGCTCCGCTTGCGGACAGGGCTCTTGAAAGCGTTGCGGGATATCTCACAACGAACCGTGGCACTGGTGCCTTTGGCCATGTCTTACGAGTTGCTCCCCGAGGATGATGCCTGGCTGTGCAACACTGGGTGGTGACTTGGAACGTCTTTTTCATCCTTATGACTTATGACAGAATGCTGATCCAGATGGCTTGATTCTTTTGGGACATGGTTTTCCAATCAGATCGTAAAACAGACACACCCACCAAGACTCCTCAGTGGCCTTTTTTGGAGTTTCATTGCACCAAAGGACATGTCAGCAATTGAAGTTTAAACTTTGGCCCTTTCCTCCTGGAGCATTGCCCATGACATGTGCTTCACTTGCCTTGATACATTTCTTGCACCTTTCAGCGCGATGATAAATCATACCGCTCCCCAAATCTCCAAGGCTCCAACCATTTTCCAGCATCTCTTTTCCTAGCGGTCCTATATTCCAGCCTCGTTCATCCATCCATATCCATATCCATCCATATCCATCCATTCCGCTTTGTTCTCCTCAGGAGA